GCTCAGACACAAAGACAAAGAAGCGATGACCTCTCCGTTTACTCAGGTTGCTCAGCCCTCTCAGGGCAGCAATGTGCACAGAATGTAGCAGGCTTCTTTCTACAGTGAAATCTGAATACATTTCTTGTATATCTGGCGAATAAATGGTTTTATTGCTAATCTTTAACAGGCTAAAACAAATAATGTATATACAACCCCAAATCAGAAAACACTGGGGCAGTATGTAAAATCAAAATTAAAACTGAATATAATGATTTATAAATCATTTGTGCTAAATATTAGATTGAAAACAATACAGCAGCACATTATTTGATGTGACACCTCATCAATTTTATTCTTTGTCCAGAACAAACACTCACATCAATTCTGATGCCTGCAACACAATTCCCCCCAAAAAAGTTGTTGCGGTTGCATTTTTGGGCTGGTAATGAGGTAAAACAATGAAATGATGATTCCATTTGAAACTGGCAATATCAACAGGTGTCAAAGACGGGCCAAGGATCGCCAGTTTTCAAAATTACTATACAATGCATACTATTGTGGTGTTAGCTTGCAACCAAAATGATGCAGTCTAATGCCAAACAGCTACACATTCAGTTTACTTTATAATTAATTCAAGGACTGATACCCCAGGCACTGCTGAACATCTGAAGGCTGCTCCATCACTGGGTTAATTGGTAATTTGACATCTTTGAGATTATCGCTGCTGCAGGCTGTATTGCACCTAACCAGGAGAGAGTGGGTGGGTGTCATTTCAGTTTAAAAAATATATATAAATTTGTAAATTGATTGAATCTATATACTGTAGAGCTGTCAGATTTCCCCAGGAAGACATAAATAGGTTTATTCTTTCTCCTGGCATACAAAATAATTTTCACAGCCTAGTTCTCCAATAATGAAATCAAGGCCATTTTGGAAATAAGCCAAGGAATTCTGTAATTTTGTAATAAAAATATTTGTATAAAAATAAATATAATAATCATGTAATGAATACTCTGAAAACCAGCAACTTTTTTTATTCTGCAATTTGGTATTTGGTTTTTTATATGGGTCTGAAATTTATAATCCTTGGAGGTTCCTGAATAAAATTATATAATTTGGTTTTAGTTGTAGGAAAAATATGAATTTCACTGAAAAAAGACTCAATTTAAGACGGCATGTTGTAAATATTCATTCTTCAACTGTTCTTGAACACTTTGTTTTCCACATATTGAGAACTGCATGCATTTCTGCAAACAAATTTTACATTCTGCAACATACCATGCGGGATGCAACATAAGGCTCATGCCAAACATGTCAACCTACTGTGAAATACTAAAAGACACTTTGGCTACACAAGCAGTTAATTGGAATTGAAATGTAAAAAAAGAACTGTGTGTCAATTTTCCCTATGATTAGTACAAAATTACACTCTTCTTTCCCAGAAGTGTCCTTGAAAATTATGAAGAAATTATAAAAAAATGTACAAATGCTTAAAATAAAGTGTTACTCATTTAGCTGGTACAAACAAAGAATGCCAGGTATTGTTTTACATTGTTGTTTCTCCAAACATCTGCATTAGACTCAACACTGACTCATAGAGTATAAGACATGGCATGACACATCAGCCACATTAACACCACCTTAACTCACATTCATTATTCACACCTTGCAATATTAGCTAGTAACATAAGCTTATTTTACCGCTGATCTCACAGTAAACCATGCGGGATGCAGCATAAGGCATATGTCAAACATCTCAGCACACGTGTGGAATCTTAGGTGATGTATGTCATGAATTCCCACTCTACATTCTCAACAGGGAGCCAGACAAAAATTGAATCCCACCAATCTATAGATGACTGACAGTCTGTATATGGCACGCCCATTAACAGCCATTTTTTGACGTGCTGATCACCACGACTTGCCGCCCAGCGTCATTATTTGAGCTTCTACGCTGTCAGCCCTCCATCTGCTCATTTCTGAGGCTTTCTGCTCAGAGAAAGGCAACTGTCAAGAGTGAATTTACTAAAGAAAGAGGAAACAGAAAAGAAGAAGGAGCGAAATGTGTAATTTCCATTCACTAAGACTGATGGGTGAAGAAAGAAGGAGACAGGGAGGCATGAGGAGAGAGGAAGGGAAATGAGAGCAGTTAGAAGTTGAATCAACTTATCCAATAACATAATCTGTATCTAGCATTTTTACCTCACTACATACTTTTTTGTAACTGTTTCATCTGCATCCTACATCTCACCTTTCCCTTATACTTTCTCTCTAAAGCTCTGCTTAATTTAATCCAACCTGCTTATTGCTCCTCTCTGAGTTGGCACAAATTGAATTTAATAAACTAATTAGTCTGTACTTCAAAACATATTTGTATAGCTGTGAGGAAAGTCCCCGAACACACTGAAGCACCTCACAGCATAATCTAATGATGCTGTTGGTGATTCAAGTATTACTGTGTTTTGCTGAAGGCTAATTTTAATACAAACTGTTTAGTTAATAGCACGTTTACTGCAACTGGGGTGAGAAATATCAGAGAGAAGACAGTTCTTTTTGAGTTTTTTGATTTTGTTGAACTAATTACCTATAAATGCTTCCCGTTACACTGAAATTGTTACACAGATCCAGTCTGCACTTTGGCTGTGTTTGTGTATAATCGTTTTCCTCTCACTTTGTCATGAAACACACCCCCTCCCACACCAATAGGCACAATGAGCAGCAGGAGGCACAGGAGACAGGTCACAGTAGAGTCTAAGGATAGAGGAAAGGAGTCTGAGATGTGTTCAATGGGATGAAATGCAGGGATTGGCTTTCTCACTTTTCTCAGTAAGCTCTTCACTTCTCCCTTGTAGGAGAGAAAGGACCTTCAACACATAGCTGGTGAGATGGAGATAAAGGACAGTGGAGGGTGAGGATACAAAACAGAAGGAAAAGAGGGTTCAGTTACAGAATGGGTAGAGAGAGAGAGAGAGAGAGAGACAGAAAGCAAGGCAGTTTGAATGAGAATATTTCTGCAAAACCGAGTTAAGAGAGTGCAGTAGGAGGGCCAGAGTGATAAATAAGAGAGAACAAAAAAATCCAAAGTCAAATCACATAAAGGGGGGAGAGAGGAGAAGGAGCAGAGAAGCGTAGGAGGATGTAAGCTCAGATAAGCCAGAGAAGTTTATTCTCTGGGCCACAGAAAAACACAGCAACTTCTTATGACTGTGCTACATTAGAACTATAATGCTAACAAAACACTCCGTAAGTCTATATAAAAGAAGAGAGTGTAGCACCAGCACAGCTACATTAACTAGTGCAAGGGTTCCCAACTTGGGGGTTAGTGCCCCCCAAGGGATCCCAAGATGAATGTAAAGAGTCACAAGGTAATTAAAGAGTATAAGAAAGAAACAAATAGTGTATATTTTGGTTATTAATATTGTTTTTCTGATTTATTTATTTGTCTTGTCAGTATATTAAAATTGCAAAGAATGCAATGAAAAATGCAACATATTGTATCAACACTGATAATAAGCAGAACTATAAGGACAATGCTGACAAAAAAAGCCAACCAGAGATTATTTCTTATTAGGATATTAAAAGACTTTGAAATGAGCCAGAAGGTCTTGGAA